CTAAAAAGGATTCCTTTCGTATCATAATGGCATTAGTTGCCCATTTCAATTTAGATTTACTTCAAATGGATGTGAAAATAGCTTTTCTCAATGGAGATTTGGAGGAAGAGTTTATATGAAACAACCTGATGGGCTCATTTCAAGTGATGGTAAGCATTTGTTTTGCAAGCTTAAGAAGTCTATTGATGGATTTAAACAAGCCTCTTGACAGTGGTATTTAAGATTTCACACTGTTATCTCTTCATTTGGTTTTGTAGAGAATGTCATGGATCAGTGTATATATCACAAGGTCAGTGGGAGTAAAATCATCTTTCTTGTGTTATATGTATATGATATTTTACTTGCAACCAATGATTTGGGTTTGCTACATGAGGTGAAATAATTTCTCTCTCAACATTTTGGTATGAAGGATATGGGTGAGACATCTTATGTCATTGGCATTAAGATTCATAGGGACATGTCTCAACATATTTTGGGACTATCTGAGAAAGCCTATATTAATAAAATTCTTGAGAGATTTAGGATGAAAGATTGTTCACCCAGTGTTGCACCCATTGTTAAGGGTGACAGGTTCAATCTGAACCAATGTCCTACACTTGAGATTGAAAAGGAACAAATGAAAACTATTCCTTATGCTTCAGCTGTTGGAAGCCTAAATGGTGAGCATTTGTTTTGCAAGCTTAAGAAGTCTATTTATGGACTTAAACAAGCCTCCCAACAGTGGTATTTAAGATTTCACACTGTTATCTCTTCATTTGGTTTTGTAGAGAATGTCATGGATCAGTGTATATATTACAAGATCAGTGGGAGTAAAATCATCTTTCTTGTGTTATATGTAGATGATATTTTACTTGCAACCAATGATTTGGGTTTGCTACATGAGGTGAAACAATTTCTCTCTCAACATTTCAGTATGAAGGATATGGGTGAGGCATCTTTTGTCATTGGCATTAAGATTCATGGGGACAGGTCTCAACATATTTTGGGACTATCTCAGGAAGTCTATATTAATAAAATTCTTGAGAGATTTAGGATGAAAGATTGTTCACCCAGTGTTGCACCCATTGTTAAGGGTGGCAAGTTCAATCTGACCCAATGTCCTACACTTGTGATTGAAAAGGAACAAATGAAAACTATTCCTTTTGCTTCAGCTGTTGGAAGCCTAATGTATGCTCAAGTCTGTACTAGACCTGACATCGTTTTGCAGTTGGCATGTTAGGAAGATATCAAAGTAATCTAGGTTTGGATCATTGGAGAGTTGCAAAGAAGGTCATGAGGTATCTTCAAGGAACTAAATGTTTCATGCTTACTTATAGATAGTCTGACATTTTAGAAGTCGTCGGATATTCAGACTCTGACTTCACTGGCTGCATTGATTCTCGAAAATCAACATGCGGATATGTTTTTATGCTCGCCGGAGGTGCTATATCTTGGAGAAGTGCTAAGCAATCTTTAGTTGCCACTTCTACTATGGAAGCTGAATTTGTTTCCTGTTTTGAGGCAACTACACAGGTTATTTGGTTGAGAAGTTTTATTTCTGGGCTTGGAGTTGTTGAGTCTATCTCTAGGCCAATAAAGTTATACTGTGACAATTCAGCTGCTGTATTCTTTGCTAAGAATAATAAGAGTAGAAGTCGAAATAAACACATCGACATTAAGTACTTAGCAATAAGGGAGCACGTTAAAGCCAAAGAAGTGCTCATTGAACACATACATACCGAGCAGATGATTACTGATCCTCTGACAAAAGGCATGCCACCAAAGACGTTCAAGGATCATGTTGTTCAAATGGATGTCCCGTTTTGTCATTATGAGAGGTAATACTTTCATTGTCTGAAACTTTGTAATTTAATTTGTTTACTCTTTTAAGTTGTATACATTTTGGATGGAGACAAACAAACATTCTAGAGGACCTGGAACAAACATTTGATATTTGTTATAAAGTGATATTCCACATTTAAGCGTTTATTTAGAAAGAGAAAAATTGCATTGTAATACATAGAAGGTAATACTTGTTTAAAAGAGATGTACCGCTATGATTCATGTAATTTCCTCTTTCTAATTGAACATACCGCACATACATCTCTTGTGTTCTGGATTATATTATAAAAGTTTGGACCAAGTGGGAGAATGTTAGACTTTTTGCATTATGGTCCTACACTTTAATATAATTACATTTTGGTCCTTGCTGAGATGGATTGATGTGGTCATACGGTTGTGTCTCTTCTCTTGAGCAGTTGTCTTTGATGGAAAGACAACTGCATATTAAAAGGAGAGAGACTTTACAGGTCCCCAATTAGACGCAATTTTTATTTTAGATTCAAAACCATCACTCCAAAAATTGCAGTCAGTGGAAGATCCTGTATTTTGAAGGAGCAAGAAGATTAAACAACAATTGCTATGGCTAGAGGTTTGTCATTTACTTCTGCATATATTCCATGGAGATTTTATTTTGAAATTGATTGTATTATCAACTTTATATGAATATTGGAATATGAATGTATTTTAGAGTCTTTACTTATTGGTCTAATCTAATCTGAAAATTAATTAAAACCCAAATAAGATTATTTGTTTAAAAATGAAAAAAAGGTGGGACTTGTTTTCAGATTATTCAACTTTATTCAATCGAAAATATTTTTCTTTCTCTCATTCCAATCTAAAAATTAATTCACCCAAGACCACTATCGTCGCTACCATTAGCAATCACCGCCGACCGACGTGGCCAAAATGACTCACGAACGATCGGAACTGGCCGATCGTGCATTGATCTGGTCGTTTCCAACCATATCCAATCAGTTGTGCGCTGTTTCGACGGCTGCTGACTGCCGTCCGACAGTGGTGGCTAGCAGCCGGCTATCCTCTTGGATGGCTGGGGTATTTAGTTAATTTTTAAACTTTTATTGTGAAGGTGTTTAGCTAAATTAACAAATATAGAAAATTAAAAGAATAATCTAAATATTTTCAGAAAATGTATCAACCAACTATTATGTCTTAAAAACATTTTTCAAAAAATGTACCAAACAATTATTCAGCATTTTATCCAACTTTGATATAATTTTCAGATATTTTACCACACACATTTTTAGATTCAAATCCAATTTGATTTGATTCAACTCAACTTAACTTAAAACACTTTCTCATAATAATATTTTTTAAAAAGTGTAACAAACAGACTCGCCCCTACTTGGTTTGGTTATTTTATTTTTAAAATGCGATTTGAAATATGTTCGTTACTTTAGTTTATCATAAACGTTAAAAGTTGAATTTGTGTTACATTATCAAGTTGATTAGTTTTTATATTAGATATGTATAATTGTACACTATTTTTCAATAATAATGTTTTACTTACAACTGAGTTATATAAACAAACAAAAATTACATAAAATTTATGTCAAATGACTACTCTGTCATTTGTTTTTTGTTTGTTTGTATGACTCAATTGTAAGTATAGTATTGCTCATTTTTTAATTAGCTTTTAAGAATGAGTTATATTTAAACTCATATAATATAGTTATATAACCATGTGTTTGCAAAAAATAATGGGCTCGATCAACCTCGATCGTATGCACGTTACACATGAGGAATGATATTAGAATTTTACACATCACCAAGTTGTTAGATTGTTATTATATATATAATAAGTGTGCTAATATTTGAGCCTTGATTGGGTAAGTCCAAATGGGGTTAAGTTTTCTATTATATGTATTCTATAATAGTGAGAAATCTAGTGTGAAAGAATAGAGGGCAAGAGTGAAATGTCGTCATTATACTTTATAATTGTTGCAACTTTATGATATTCAATAAAATTTTCTATATGAATGCTAGACATAATTCCTTTATTGGAACAAACCAGGATAAATTGTGTGTTCTTTTTACTTTTTTGTTTTCTTTATTGTGTGTTTTTTGTTATGGTTTTCAACAATTTTAACATATATATATATAATGTAAAAAATTGTTGAATGTGTAAGGTCGTAGATAATTGTGATATAAAAAGTTATTTAGTATCATGAGTTAAATATAATGGAAATGAACTGGTTTGAAAAAATTTCCAAGGATGCTTCTTTTTTATCGGGAATTTGACTCTGAATATTGGACTGCTTAATTGAGTCATACTCTTCAAAAAATGCTGATGAAAATCAAGACGAAGTTCTGATTATACTAATAGCCCAACATAAGTGGAGTGCAATCTTCATTGGAGCTCGCAATATTTGAACGTGGGCCGAAGATCTAAATGGGCCGAGCCCATCCAGGCTATTCTTAGCCTCGCTTACATTTGTATTTAACAAAAGAGCAAAAGTGTACATATATTTTATCAATTGAAAGATGAAAGAATGCAAACAAATTTATGAATCTATTAATTTAATAGTTAAATGAAGATGACATAACATAACCCCAAAGGTTAGCCGAGCGGTCAATAAGGTTTGTTCTCTTAATTGATTTTTTGGATTCAAATAACCTGGAGATAATCTATTACATTTGTGACTTACCTTGAAACATTGAGTTTATAAGGTATTTAATGAATCCCGATAATTAGATGAGGTATGCGTAAACTGATCCAAACATTGCGGTCATTTAAAAAAAAAAAAAAAAAGATCGAATAAATATAATGAAGGGAAGAATTATGTTTCCATTACGTAGGAGGGTTAACTTATGCGAATACTAGTAACTTAGAGAGCTTGGAAGAGGGAACCACTAACCTTCTAGTGCCTTAATTGATATAGATAGTAACTATGAAAATTAAATAATAAATTTAAATTATAATAGCAAGTAAAAATATTTAATTGTACTAATGAAATTTTTGATAAATTGAACAGTTTAACCTCATGAAGCCATGAAGCTAATGGGAGAAGAGAAGTACCCTATTTCCTCAGAAAAATGCCCACTTGTTTTCATATAAAAAGCACAACACAACAATTTTACAGAACAAAAACATCAATGTGGCAGCAAATATCCCTTCTTTAAAAGCCACCTCATTTTGTATTTTTTGTTTATATCTCCACTACCCCCATCGAAACTTGTTTCTCATGCAAAGCCTCTGGTCACCACTCACCATGCAATCTTTTACGTGTCACCCTTTTGAACCTCCTCACTTCTTTATAAAACTAACTCCATTTCTCTTCTCTTAAACCCATCTTTCTCTCCTCCCTTCCAATTATCTTCATCATCTCCTTAATACTTATCTTCTTCTTCTTCTTCTTCTCCATTATCCTCAATGGCCGAACGTGATCGTGACCGTCCACAGCCACACCAGCTTCAGGTGCACCCACAGCACCGTTATGATCATCATGGAGCTGGTGTCAAGTCACTTATGCCGAGACGCGGGCCTTCAGCCAGCCAAGTTCTAGCGGTGGTCGCGCTCCTACCCGTGGGTGGCACCTTGCTTGCCTTAGCTGGTTTGACTCTGGCTGGTTCTATCATTGGGCTTATGGTCACTACACCGCTGTTTATAATATTCAGCCCAGTTATCGTCCCGGCGGCTATTGCTATCGGGCTTGCAGTGGCGGGCTTTTTCACTTCCGGGGCTTTTGGGTTGACGGGTTTGACTTCATTCTCATGGATCTTGAACAGCTTCCGCCAGTCCACGGGGTCGGTACCGGATATGGCGGACCAGGCAAAGCGACGCATGGCCGACATGGCAGGTTTTGTGGGCCAGAAGACCAAGGAAGTGGGCCAGGAGATCCAGAGCAAGGCCCATGAAGTAGGGAAGACTGGGACGGGAAGGACATGAGTTTTGAGTTTGAGTTGAGGCTTGAGGAGATGGAAGTGAAGGAATAACGAATGTGCGGTTCTTGTTTGGGGTTTTTAATGTAATGTCTTTAGTTTTCTGGTGTAAGTTTGTGTGTGTAGCCATAGGTTTCTATCAATGTAGGCATTTGATTTTGTGTACTGTGGGTTTCATTTTTTTTTTTTTTAATTTAAACGCGTTATGTTATATGTTCTGGGTCTTATATCTTCTGTTTTTCTGTCTTTAATGTTCCAACCATCTTCAGCTTAGAAATTATATGGATGAATGATGAATCTAGAAATGAAGCTCTTTCATTCATCTCTAGAAATAGAAAACAATTCTACAGTGTTACAATTCAAAATTGTGTGGTTGCACAAAGCCACAAAGCCCTCATTTGGCATTCTTCTCTTCTCTCTCAACAAAAATGAACCACAGAAACGCTTAATAGATATGTACGAGGAATTCATATAAAAACACTGGAAGAAAGAAAGTTAAGAGAAAGAAGGGGTAGGTTGTGAAATTGGTTGAGATTGAGGTTCCCCAGAAGCGGGATCATCGGGGTTGGGTATCCAAAACGAGAGTACAGAAGAGGCAGCAACAAACATCACGCGACGGGGAGCCCATTTCAAACATGAAGATACCCCAGTGTGGGCATTCCAACATGCCACCTACCACAAATTAAAACAAGTAACATAATCATATAGAAAACACAGAAACAAGACCCAAAAAATAAAAAAATAAAAAAAAAAAATAAAAAAAAAAGGTTAAGAAAGTTATGCTGTTATTACTAGTTAATACATCATGAATCTTTCTTCAATGTTGCATAAAACTAGTTACCTAAAAAAATACACCAAATTACTTGACACCATCTTGATCGTCTATTAATTATGAAATTTTTTTTTAAAGAAAAGAAGATGGTGCCACGTGTGTGGTGCGTGAATTCAGTATATTTTTTATATTTTTTCCGGTAACTGTAGCATTGCTCAAACTTACCAGTTTACTATTTCTATGTTACGTTACCAAAACTTCTTCCAATTTAGGAACTGACACTCCATATTATGTCAACATCTTCGTGATTGGGTTTAGCAGGACTAACCAATGTGCTTGACTCAACAGTTGAACGGTACTCGATGAATGTTAATATATTTATTATTTTCCCAACCATCCAGACACAACCAGCTAACAGCCTTAATTTAGATTTACATGAGCTTCATAATTTCCCCCCCTTTTAAGATAGAGCAGAAAAGAAGTTAAGGATGTGGTCCAGCACAGCCATAGTCAGTTTATTTAATGAACGTATGATACGAACTTATAAATCACCTAAGGAGTTCACTTTGAATGCACTCTACAAGTAACATTAAAAAAATTTTAACACAGAGAAGAAAAAAAAGAATGATACCTCATTTCTCATGTTGATATCCCAGGCATGAATTGTTCCATCCCCTGACCCTTTGACAAACAAGAAGACTGAACTTAGTTTACAATGATCCAAACGGAAGACAGGAAAATTTAAGCAGCAAATTGCACCCATTTGAAAAGTTACTTATGGAACTAAAATAATCAATCATTAGATACAAAAACCACATCACCACAAGTCTATGCTCATTTGGAAAAGATAGGTAGATGACTGATGGAATTGGCAAGATTGTTTCAACAAGTACTAAGAACTGTATAAGACGAGGTTCTTAAAAATACCAAAGTCGGATAAGACCCTTCTTAAACATAAACTTTCCAGTTCTTTAAAAAGCTTCAATGCTAAAACTAATTTTAGAACTCATAGAATAGAAATGACCAGAAAAAGAAAAGAAAATTGAAATGGACTAGATGATGCATTTTATTTTTCAAATAGAAAACATATTAAATACTGGATGATACCTGAGACCACATACTGGCCATCTGGGGAAAAAGTTGCTTCCATAGTTTCATTTGGGGATGGCTCCAAATTCACAGCGAACCGCTGCACATAAGAATGTCTCGTTACTGGTTACTTAAGCCACATCCTACATATATATTGTAAAGTAAAATGAAAAACAGAGTATTTAGGATTGATCTCCACATCACAGCGGATAGGTAAGACTATTGTCCATGAGAACCCTAAAACAAATCAGGTAAACTAACCTTCTCTCCTCCATATGCATCAAGAACATAAATGTTGTTATTTGTGGTCATCAAGAGCATTGATTTGCCATCGTTGCTGAATTTGATATCACAAACCTCTGCTCTATCTCCACCTACTAAGAAGGTGTCAAAGGGGCCCTGCAGTTGGAAAAATATATCAAATTGATGGCTTCATAAAGTGCCACACACAAGCTGATGTTTTATAGGTAAGTACCTTGTCATAAGAACGTGAATCAAACAATTTTATAGCACCACCTTCCATTGCCACGGCAAAGACCAAGCCTTGTTGATCATATGCAACTGTAGGTCTACCACGTAGATGTAGAATTCCCTGAAAACTATGTCAGTAAGCATAAATCACCATTGTGTATATTTTAAAGTAAGAACCTAAATTAATTACAAATGCCAATCCAAATACAAGCCAGTATATATATATACTTGCAACCTCGATCCACAATCAAGACTAATGACCCTAATTACTTGACTTCTTTACTACTGTGAAAGGGGGAGGAAACCAATCTTCAGCAATTCAGGATTGATTAAATTATTTGTAATGCATGTCAATTTTCTTTGGAAGCTTAAAATTTGCATAAATTTCATGAGAAACAAGAAACAAACCTGGCAAGCGTTTACACGAAGATCCCACATTCTGACACTGTGGTCAACAGAACCAGACATGAAGCTATCATTTACTGGAGACATGCAGAGGGAAACAACCCTACAACATCAACCAAGAGTTTAATAATCACAATCATAACCTTGCAAAATAAACATAAAACAGAAAGGAACAATTTAATCTTTTTCTTTTGTATAAGGATACATAAACCCTTTTCCGGAACCATGTATGATACTGAACTTATTTTTATAATCAGAGTCAACTGCTTTATCTACTTAATAGTAAACCGCAAACGAATCATGTTATTCAAACCTCTCTTTATGGCCTTTAAAGTAGCGGAGAATTCGATTATCATACATTGACAGATACCGCAAAGATTCTGGCAAGAAAAGAAAATACAGATATTACCATTGGCCTTCTTTAAAATCACAAAAATCAGACTTCAGTTTTACTTTACAAAGGTCAATATATTTATTAATTGCTCCTCTATCCAGAAATTTACACTGAGAAACTCACCTCCAGTGGAATCCAAATTATATTTTGTCGAGCAAATAACAGAGCTTGGATGATGGGTAAAGCAAATACGATCAGTGCCATGTTTCTTATGATATGTGGTCTTGAGCAACCTGAAGTTCGTAACGCAACAATAATTAAAACTTTAAATGAAAGTAATTAACAGAACATAATATCATCTAGGGTTGATTTGATCCTTTAAATGAAAGTAATTAACAGAAGCTAAACTCATTTTAAAATACTCGAAATTTACCATAATATTAACACCTGTTTAATTGAAAACAATGTACTGAAATTGGAGTATCCAATTCAACCTTGATAACAGTACCACTTTTCAATCAGCAAAGAATAGTTATTCCAGGCAATAATCTGACGCAAATTAAGGTGATAATTAGTTCAAGAAAGCACATTTGAACGACTCACTTAGCATTAACGATGTCGTATAGACGGACCGAGCCATCCTCGCTAGCCGTGACCAATAAATCGTCTTTCCGATGAAAGTCAAGTGAATTTATCTTCCCACCCTGAAATTGTAATTTTTTTTTTTTAAATTATCATCAGGAATTATAGGTATATAGCGAAATCTAAACTGTTTTTATTTTTTGGTATTTAATTTGTTAGGTAAAAAGAAATTATAAACATGAAAAGTAAGAAGAGAAGATTTACAAAGTCTGAGAAAACTGCGCCTACGGCCATGCTGCGCACAATTTTGTCATCGAGTTCTGTGAGCGCCGTCGTCGCCATTGATAAATTCTGATAAGAAAAGAAGAGACTTCGGAATTTAAAACGAGCAGCAATAACTGTGCGTGGAGGCAGTGGCAATATCAAATTATTACAATCCCAGTGGAGACAAACGACGCCGTATGGTAGACTCTTTCAGTCGCGCTTTTCTAACAGTTTCTTGCGGGAAATAAAAGATATTTGTTTTTTACTATTATAATATAATTCACTAATTATAAAACTCATAAAAAAAATAAATCTATATCACAAGGAAGAATTTCAAACCCCTTAAAGAATATTTTGATATCAATACCCTTTAATTGTGCTTATCCTTGTATAAAAATGTCATTATCCATATTTAATAATCTAAATATTTCATTATCCATAGTTTATGTAACGACTCTTTTTTACTCATATACTCATAGAAATACATATACTAAAATACATGTATAATAACATAATTAGATGAGCCCAAATTTTTCTTTCATTAAATATACATATACTTTACACAAAATAAAGTATCATATACAACAAGTCATCAAAAAGTGGTAGGCAGTGTGACTATTTCTCTTCGCTTGCAGACGTTCATCCGACTGCGTCCTCACCTAGATCCTGCAAAACACATAGAAACAATTGGGTGAGCACCAAAAGGCTTAGTAAGTAAATCCTCTACTCATCTGTCCCTGTAACTCTTTCTCTTAATTCTTTCATTACTCTTTTCTCTTTCTGTTTCTCTTTTACATAGCTCGTTCTTTCTCACTTGAATATCACGACCTCATCTAAACGGAGGCACGGCCGGGAACTCTAGCCCACTCTACGTGACTTCTACTCACTCATATGTCACGGCCCCGTCTTACCGGAGGCACGGCCGGGAACTCAATCCCGTTCTGCGTGACCAATACTCATTCAAGTGTCACGACCTCATCTTACTGGAGGCACGACCGGAAGATCACAAAGCTCCCACTACTCGTGACCTTAACTCATTCTCTGCCGATCGGACTCGGTTATGCATGGATTCGGAACTCTTAGCCACGTGAGTGTATTCTCTCTCTCTCTCGAGTGTCATAACCTCATCTTACCGGAGACACGGCTGGAAGATCACAAAGCTCCCACTACTCGTGACAATTCTACTCATCACTCACAGGTTCCCCATCACATGACCTACTCTATTCTCTCGTCTAGCACTACTCTTGTTTTTATTCTCTAGTGCTTATTCTCTCTTTCACTCTACTCTTGGAGTTTTCTCATTCTCATTGCTTTTAGAGTAACTTATACTAAAATTCTCTACTCTTTCTCAAGCTACTTCTCAACGCACAACTAATGCGTATGGATGGTTAATGCTTGTTAATGCACTAATGAAATGTCAATATGCAATGTCGCAAGAATTAAGGTTTACTATTCATGCTCATACTTCTCTTATGCATTTCATCAAACACCTCATGTACATATAAAAACTCTACTAAAACAATAACTATACTTCTTTCTCTAATCATCTAAAATGGGAGGAAACTCCCTCACATAGCTATAATCCCTGTCAAGGACAAACACTTCTAAAAAGATTGCTCAATCTCCTCTAATTTCATCTCACTCATCACACATCATGCAATCTCAACACTTCTCATAAATGAAGTGTATTCAACAACCACAAAGCAAATACTCCTTTCAATTCAATTCTCAATAATATAGCATACACATGCATATATAATTCTCTACTCAAAAGAGTTCTTAAATCTCAACTTGGTTGAATTTCCTTACTTGTGATAGAGTGATTCCACTAGCACTTCTCTTTACCTTGGTAACTTGCCTTTTCTCTACAATCTCAACCAACCATACTATAAGACTTCAACTCATTAATAGGTAAAATTCACATCTAAAGCAAGAATCTTTACCTTAGGATGCTTTAGATTAACTTTCTACCAAAATCACTCAAAAAGCCCTTTAGAATCCTTGAAAGATTGAAGAAAAACTTGAGAGGAAATGGAGAATGGAAGAGGCAGTGGAAGGATGAAGAATGAAGGGGTTACAAAGCTTAAGCCCTTTTTAGCTCAAAATATCTTCATTCATTCCCATAATGCCCTTACACTTTCTTGGACATTCCATCATTGTCCTTTGATTCCTTACACTCACACCCCCACTCTAACATATTCTCCATGAAATTTCCTTACATTTCACTCCCCACTTGTCCTGCTAATCAGGGGCAGAATGATCCATTTGCCCTTAGGCAAAAATCTCTAACAAATTCAATACAAAACTCAGCCGGCTCTTCGTCGTGGCGAAGCAAGTTTCTTCACCCCGACGAAAAATTACAGAACCTACCTCTTTGGTTGCAGAACCTCGTCGCCGCGGCGAAGTCTGTAACACCAAGATTTCGCCAAGTCTTTACAATTTCAGGGCAACCATTCAACTAAACCAATATATCCATTCAACCAAGGGCCAACCAAACAATATTAACAATATAACAACTCAATTAAGAGCAAAACAATAAAGATTCAAACAATGCACATAAATTAGCTACATACCTCAAGTGGGGCGTTACAGTTTATTTTAGGATTTGTTGATATAAAATTAAAATAAAGTAAACGACATATTCCCATCCAAAGTTTAGTGAAATCGGTTGGTACCCCTGGTTTCATAACTTCCATATTACCACCTTTAAATGGACATTGTTAATGACGGATGGCATCTAGCACAAGAGTAGAGGTGCTTTTACAAAACAGCCCTCGAACTTCTACTTTTTTCAACTCCCCTCCTTTTCTTCACTATCACTGGCAGTCTGGCACTTCCCTTTGCGTGTTTTCCCCACATTACCCACTACACTAAACCCCTTAACACTTCCATTAGATTCCCCACATTACCCTCTACAAACCCCTAACATTCCTTCTCTGGTGTACCCTCAAATCATTGCCCCTTTGTGCGTTTCCCCCTTATTCATGCCAGATTCTGGTTGATTTTGACACTGGAAACCACCATTGACACCACCACTCGAACCCCTATCCTCTCCTCAGCAAAACCCTTAACTTTCCTCACTCGGTGTACCCTCAAATCGCCACCTGACGGCCATTGCCCCTTTACACGTATTCCCTTTTTTCAGGCTAAATTGCGGTTGATTTGACATCGGAAACCACCACTCGAATTCCCACCCTCTCCTAAAAAGAAACACTTACCCCCACCGACTGTCCCCAATCGCCGTTTGTCTTCGCGAACTGCATAAGCCGTCGTGTGACAGTTACATTTTGCGACCCACCCCTTTCCACTGCATAACCCCTTTCCTCCTTCACCTGTGGCTGTGTTGTTGCGTTCGGTTGTGATTATTGTATGTAAACTAGTTGTTGGAAAACCCACAACAACACAACCTCTTATATCCAAATCACACCCACCACCTGTTTGAAGAAATGCCTCACTCAGCATCCTAGCCCAGCACATAACACACTACATGTGTTAGGGATGATTTCCAATGACAGGTTCGACCAGAAAAGCTTGAGCCGCACCAAAACGAATGAAAGGCGGTGATCGACAAATGGTAGTGCAAATGACTATGTTACCCTTTGACCGTGAGATTAAACGATTTGCTGTTAGTTTAAGGGTGAGAATTTGAGATTTATGAAACAAGGGGTAGGATGCTGCTAAATCTTGGGTGGGAACATGTCGTTTACTCATTAAAATATCATTGGTTGAGCTTTTTGAAATGAATTGTCAAATAAAATTCTAAAAGTCACGTATAAAATATATATGTATAATATTTGAATTTTTTAAAATTATTTCTCCTTATATAAACTAAAGCAATACTATCATTCTTTGCTTCTTATAATGGAAATTGTAACGTTAATACTGAAGATGGCAACCGCGCTCCTTTGAGCTAACGCACTGTACGAGCTCTTCTCTCACTCACACTCTGTAACAAATTGACTACCAATGGACTCTTACACTCCTCTATTGGAGAAAACAAGGGTTCCTCAACCTTCGCTGCAGAAATTCGCGGTAATTTCAATCTTCTCCAAGCTCCGATCCACTCCGACCCATCTTGGACCCGAGTCCGAACCCGGAAGAGACGCAATTTTCCATTGCCTTCACTCCTCGTCTCCCGCCGTCGTCGACCAATCCGTCCGAGAGTTTTGTCGCCTCGTGACCGACTCTAAATTGGACCTGTCTCTCGGGTTGGTGGAGCTCCAGCCGGCTCTCGAAGGATCAGACCCGAAATTTGTACCTCTGTTTGTTAAAGCTTTGGGATTTGTTGTTCGGGTCGGGTTTGAGAGGTACAACGGCTCGTGGAAGTTCGGGTCCACTGAGAATCATCCGTTTGTTAAGGTGAGAGAATTTTAATATACACTTAAGTTTAGAATATGATCATGGTTTTATGAAATTAGGAAACGTGGATGCTTATTCTTTAACTATTAATTAACATTTCTTTTCTTTTTTTAGTGAATTTGTGTTTATAGAATTTGGGGTATTCAAATTCATGTTTTTGTTGAATTCTGAAAGTATAGCTGTGTTAGTAGTAAGACATTTGAGTTCTGGACTTTCGAATTACTCTGTAATAATTATTTTGCTGTGTTTAAGCAATTTAAGGTAAAATTTGAAGTAAATTTGATTATTTAAGATTAGTTTTAATGATGAAAAATTTGAAGATTGATGCATTGTCGTTTTGTGGTTCAATTTTTTTATTTATGCTATTTTTTTGGTTCATGAAATTGCAGGTTCTATCAAGTCGAACTGAGGTTCAGTCTGAGCTTGTGCAGCAAGTTTTGTTATTTATGACACAGACTAAACAATTGGGAATGGTTGAAGTTTGTGAATTCTTGAGACCCTTTTTCAATTTTTCGATTTTACGAATACCCTTTTCGGATTCTTTGTCGACTTTGTTTGTAAGGCAGTTAGTAACATCAGTATCGTCAATTTGTTGTTCATTTCCAAACGATGCAATGCCAGTATTCAAGCTATTAATAGGTTGCCTTAAATATTTTACTCACAAGAATTCAGCTGTAAGTGTACTTCTTATTGGTGATTTTGTTTCCCTTTCTGCAATATTATGGTTGCTACTGTCATTTGGTGGTAAATTGGTTGATTAAAACTTTTGGATTAAGGTTTTCAGTCCAACTCATTATTA